TTTAAAATGTCAATGTATCCATCGTTCAATGAATTTTACGATTATTTTTATAAAACTGTGTATAATGAACATTTCAACTAAAAAAATTAGTACAAAATAGCTGCTAATAATTCTCTTAAACATTTATAAATATTATACATTTATAAATTTCAGCTTTTCGCATTATTGCTAAATAACCTCTACGTCGAAAAATATTTAAGGAATTCCATAATAACTGAAAATTAAATAAAATTTAAAAAAAATTGTAAATGGTTATCGAGCAGAACCATTAAGTTTAATTAATGAATATAGAATTAGTAACAAAGTCACTGCTGAACAATAATTTTTTTTTTAATCTTTTAAGTAAACAAACTTTATTGTAATAATCATTTCATTATTAAGGATTAGAGGTTATTGTGAAATTATTAATTTTAATAAGTGGATGAGTAGGTAAAGAAGTTCACTACTCGAAATACGCGTATACATTTAATGAAAGTTATGAAAATACAGAAGGGGGCTATGGAGGTAATAATATATAATTTTTTTTATCTTAGTTTTATTACGATCTTCTAAAAAACGCTAATAAACACAATTATGTTAACAAATACAAACGATTATGTCGGAGCTATAACAAAAAAATACGCTTTATATTTCATTTAATGCAGAAGAATCTAATTAAGATCAGCTTATTTGAAACTCTGAAATGTCACACCCATATGTAACTTGGTGAATGATAGATACGTGATACCAAAAACAAAACAAAAACATAAGCACACAGCTGTTTGGCGATTTGCGAGACGCTCCTTCAACACCGATAGAAATTTTCGCCAACCCTTTTACAATCTACGGTATGTTTTGTCAATACGCTTCCGGTTCGTCCTCTTACCTTCGGTCTTCGATCCAATCCTCGATCCTTCTACCTCGGCTTTTCATGCTATCTCAGCTGTCGCAACCTACAGTCTCTACAGTAGCCCCCTACCAGCGCTAGCGAGACTTTTCCAGCTCATTGCTGATACTTTCCCTGAAATTTAACTCGACGGCCTGGTCGTGCTTTAACCTCTTTTGGCATGTCACCAGGCTCTGGGATAGTAGATTCATCCTCTGTATCTCCTTAAGTACTCATAGCTGTAGATTCGCTTTTAGGAAATATGTCTTGTTCATCTCGGGATACATATGCAGGTTTCAGACGATCCACGTTTACCGTATTCTCTCGGCCATGAATAAGAATCCTAAAAACCTTCTCCCCTCGACTCAGCACTTTAAATGGACCCTCGTATGGTGGTCCTTCTGATGGCCTTCTGATGGCGGCAAAAACCTACGATGTCGATGTGCATGTGCTCAAATCTGGCATTTGGTGGAACAAATGTACCAAACTTGCTCTGCGTGTGACGCGTCACCTTAGAACGTTGGCAAGCAAAGCATTGCTGAGCCCATCTCCTAACATCTTTCTTTATACCAGGCCAAACATACCGCTCCTCCACCAATCTTATAGTAGCTTTAATACCTGGATGTGAAATAGAATGCAGTTTGGAAAAAACGTTTTTTCTGTCCACTTCGGGTACGAATGGTCGAATCCGTTTGGTAGATACATCACAAAACAGCTCCCAACCAGGATCACCTATTACGAATGGTTGAAGTACCAAAGATGAGTTACCGGTTTGAGCTAAAAATTCGGCTAGTTTCTGCAGGGGCCCTATTACTGATTGTAGTGTCATTTAGCGTCTTTTTAAGAATCGTCCAGGTACAATTCTGACCAGGCCGACTGCTGGGATCCTATTACCAGCTTCACGGAATCTGATTCCGATGGAAATGAAACTCTCGTGACGTCATAAATCCGTGAATGTCAGTTAAGTCGTATTACGAGCTCTTGATTCCGATCGGAAATAAATTCCGATGCGAAATAATTACGAATCCGATTCCGGCAGGTTTAGAGCAAGCGAAATCTGGATTCCGATAGGAGTTTGTTTATTTTAGTGATCAAAATGTCGCTGTTTTCTGTCATTGCAACCGATTAAAGCCAATTTGAAAAACATTTTTGTAGTTTTTCTTAGCGTGTAACATAAAATTTGATAATTTTAATTTAATTTTTATTTAAAATAGGATATTTTTATAGCTTTCATAAATATAATTGTATTTTGATACTTAAATTGCGGCTGATTTTGTTTTACGGATTGAGTTAAAAAGAAGAGCTTTTCGTTATGTTCAGAAAGATGATAATTTATCTATTTCATAATTTTATAACCGTCGTCGAACAACCGACCTAATTTTGTGTTTCCGACTACTGATGTTCAACTCCTTAGTCTTGTGATTTTAAATCCAACCCAGAAGACAAGGAGAGCCCTGTATCAAGTATTGAGTGAAATTTGCCTCCGTGGAGGATTTTTTGATGGAACTAACCCTCATTTCCGTAACATGGAGCGGAAAACCACGAAAACCTCCCACGGGTAGCCTGACCTCAAGGAGACTCCAGATCTTCTGAGCCACAACGGCTAGGCCTGATTAATAATAAAAAATGATTGATTATGAAAAAATAATTTCATTGAGATAATAATGAACATTTAGTTATGAACATTATGATGAACATTAGAATCCAATTACCGCCAAGCAATCAGAAAAACCTTTTCGCAGTTTTTCCTTGCGTGAAACGCAAAATTTGATAATTTTAATTTCAACTTAATCATGGTTAAAATAATTTATTTTTGTAACTTTTATAAACATTGTTTTTCGCCGATACTTAAATTGCGAGTTACTTTGATTTTTGGGATGAAATATAAATATAAATTTAAAAAATATAAAGAGCAGCTCGTTATAATATAATTGGCTGTCGGTCAAGGATGCTAAAAAATGATTCATTATATCAAAAAAAAATTATTACGATTCCTGAACATTAAGTTGGAACTCCTTAAGCGTCAAGCAATCTGAAGGATATTTTCGTGGTTTCCCTTTACGTGTAACGCAATGATTGTTTTCTTTAAAAAAAATAATAAAATAAAAATTTAAAAAAAACATTCATAAAGGCAGCAATGTTTAAAAATTTAAATAAATTATGAGTTATTTTATCTTTTTTCCTTGTTAAAACAAGACAAAATGAAGAACATTTGATTGAGAACAATTCATTAGCAGGGTAGATAGTTTTTGCAAACGATAAGAAATGATTTGGCAGATATTTTCATAATAAATGCTACGAATAATTATTTTGATGAAAAAGATTTTGATTTTTAATTCTCATAGGAAAATTTAACAAATTTACAGTTGCATTATAATAGAACTAGACGCTTCACACTAGTAATTATGGTTGAATAAGCAAGTATCCTTCCTTCAGTTTTAATTAATCCAAGGTTTCAATTAATCCCAAAATTGCTTGCAATGAAAATAATTATAGACAACCTTGATTTTCTTTCTGGAATTTTATTGTAATCGCATTCAGTGGTGGATATTGCTGGCGAATATTGATTTTTGTATGGGAAGTCATTTTTTAAAGTAAAACGTATGAATTTTTAAGCTTTCAGTTCTAAGTTAATGCGATTTTAGCTCGCATAAAAGAAGAGAAAACAATCATAACGTTGCCAAATTAATAAATTAAAATTATAGTAATTTTCTAATTAGTCAAAGTTAGTCCCGCCTACAAACTCCAATTTCACCAGACTCGTGCGGAATGGCGATTTCGCTTCCGGATTCCGATATGATCATGTTACGGCAAAGTGGGTTTCACGAAATAGGCAATCCGATGAAAGCTAGTTTCCGATCGGAATTGTTTCCGAGCGGAATAAATTTCAATGAGTTGGTAATAGGGCCCCTGGTCACCTTTTTGGTTGTTAGCCATTTCTTGAAAATTGATGTGGGAAGGTGTTTCTATGGTAGCAATGTGTACTCTGGACAGCGCATCTGCAACCACGTTATCTGTTCCCTTCACGTGCTGAATATCCGTAGTGAATTGGCCAATAAAATCCAAATGGCGCGATTGTCTTGGTGAACACTTATCTTCCTTTTGCTTAAAAGCATATATGAGCGGCTTGTGGTCAGTGTAGATAGTAAAGGGCCGACCCTCAACCATATGCAGAAAGTATTTGACTGCCATGTACGCAGTCAAGAGCTCTCTGTCGTAAGCACTGTACTTTCTTTGAGATAGTGCAAGCTTCTTTGAATAAAAACCAAGTGGTTGCCACTCTTTCTCTATCCGCTGATGCAAAGCAGCTCCCATCGACGTATCTCTACCACTATCGTCAACTGTGCATTCATGACAGGATGGTACAGCGTGGTTGAATTCGCCAATTCTTTCTTGCTCTTCTCAAAGGCAGCAACTGCTTCCTCCGACCACTTGATCGCGCTTTTATAATTTTTCTTAGCACCCTTTAAATATTCGTTTAAAATTACTTGAGTGTGGGCAGCTCTCGGTATGAATCTTCTATAAAAATTCAAGACCGCAAGAAATCGACGCAGCTCTCTAATTATAACTGGCTGAGGAAGATTAGCTATTGAAGATACTTTATCAGGAAGCGGAGTAATACCCTTTTCTGTCACTCAATGTCCTAGGAATTCTACTGAAGACTGTCCCAAGACACATTTGCTTACGTTGAGTGTTGCACCATATTGAGCAAAACGTTGAAAAACTCTTTTTAAATGCATTAAATGTTCTTCTTTGTTCTTTGAAGCTACTAATACGTCATCAAAATAAGGTACACAAAATTCGAACTCACCTAAGACTTGATAAATGAAGCGTTGGAAAGTTGCGACAGCATTTGATAATCCAAACAGCATATACAAAAACTCGAACAATCCAAACGGGGCTATTACGCAGTCTTTGGCACGTCTTCGCTGCGCACCGGACTCTGATAATACGCTTCTTCCAGGTCTCAAGGTAGAAAATATCCTTTAAACCTGAAAACAGTCTTGCATGCGGGGAACAGGATACCTATCTGGCACGGTCACCCCATTAAGATGACGAAAATCACCACACGGTCGCCAGTCGCCATTTTTGTAAGAACCATGAGTAACGGACTTGCCCAACAGCTTTTGGATGGCTAACAAACCCCTGATGCTACCAGAAATTCGAACTCTTGCTTTGCAGCTATCAATTTCTCTGGCGATAAACGTCGAGGTTTCGAAAAAATAGGCGGTCCTTTTATCTGTATCCAATGCTCTACTCCATGCTTCACTTTTCTTGGCGTGACACCTGACCTAATCAGAGCAGGAAATTCTGACAACAAATTGTGGAATTCAGAGTTCTCTAAAATTACCTTTACCGTTGAAGCATTCCCAGCATACCGGGTACCTCTTGTTTGCAACTTGGTCAAAGGATCAATTACTGCAGCATTTTTGACGTCTACTAATAAGCCAAAATTGCGTAAGAGGACAGCTCCGATAATTAGATGAGGCTCGGCAGCGATGATATAAGGCCAGCTGAACTCTCTTTTGAGTACGAGGTTTAATTTCAGCAGGCGTTGGCCAAACGTTGGAATGGTCGTACCGTTTGCGGCGAACAATTTCATCTGTGAAGAATGGTCACCTCGTGCATAGGCAGCACGAGGCATCACAGAGACGTCAGCTCCCGTATCGATGAGATAACGTGAGGATGTAGACTTGTCCGTCAGATAAAGCAGCTGAATCATCGCGTCTCCGTCACCCTTTTGACTGGATGACGGCCTCAGCAGTTTTCCGGTTGGAACGAACATGGAGGTCGTCATTTTGTCGCTCGTTGCTTACTGTGAATTTGCAGAAATACTGTGTGTACCAGCAATACTGTGAATTTGCAGACTGTCGGCTTCGGCTAGTAGAGTGTTTCTGACTAGTACTTCTTGCCCGGTAACTTGTACGGGCTTCCAACCGTGAGAGACGAGCAGTGATCTCTGTCAATAAAGACCGTAAATCCGTCTGATCCGTGAAACCAGCAACTACGCTAACTGACTGTGAGTTAGTTGTTGTAGCCATGATACCATTCGCTATCTCTGCCAGCTTGTCCAGGTTACCGTTTGAAATCGCCAAAAACATTAGTAGGCAACTTCTGCAAAAACAAAGATTTAAGAAGTTCATCGTTAATTCGCGCGCCGGCTTTATTCCGCATTTCCAGAAGCAGTCTTGAAGGACGGCGGTCGCCAAGTTGCATCCCCGAAATCAAATCCCTTAAGTGTTGAGCTTCAGATTCAGCATATTGAGCGCACAATCTATTTTTTATTGCGGTGAAAGGCTTATCCACAGGTGGACTGCCAAGGGGGTAATTGCCAGTGCAGGTGGTACAGTTGGTAATTGCCAATTACAGGTGGTAATTGCCAGTTCCTCCGGTTGTAGAGCAGAAACTACATGGTGAAATTTCGTTGACTCTGTAGTTACTCCAGCAAGATTGAACCGACTTTCAATTTGTCTGAACCAAAATTCTGGATTAGCTCTCCAAAAAGGTGGTGGCTTTACAGTGACACGAGCAATTTGTTGATCAGCAGTTTCCGTAGATTCGGGCATTTTTTGCATTAATCCGAAATGTATAAGTCCAACGGTAGAAGCAATTTGTACTCACGGCTTGCTAAAAAAAATAATAAAACCTGAAACGTACCAGCATTTCTTCGTAATCCATCAACTAGTAGAATTTCCCAAATGCAGTTTGCAGAAACAGAAATATACGTATTCGTTCATGGGTCACCAATTGTATATTGTTGTTGTTGTTAATTTACGTCGCACTAGAGCTGCACAATGGGCTATTGGCGACGGTCTGGAAAACATCCCGGAGGATGATCCGAAGACATACCATCACAATTTTGATCCTCTGCGGAGGGGATGGCACCCCCGCTTCGGTAGCTCGGTGACCTGCGCGCGAAGTCGAGCACTTTACGGTAGCACAGTTTAACGAGGACCAACACCGCACACCCTCGGTCCCTACGCAGACTGATCCAAGTGGTCACCCACCCGCACACTGACCGTAGCCAGTGATGCTTGACTTCGGTGATCTGCTGGGAACCGTGTCTTAACGATCAGTCCACTGCGGGACTAGACGTCAATTGAAACAATATGGCAATGAAACATCATCTTTAATAGTAAAAGATAACAACCCATCAATCAAGAAACTTCACAAACTCCAATTAACAGGTTATTCATTAAAAAACATTTAAAACTTAAACTTTCGACTGTAAACATCTCATACTGCAGGTGGGCGTCACCGGGTAGAAACGGAATATTGGTACGAGGTTCTCGGACGGACGCTGCACAACAGCCCTTTTTGAAGGCAAACTGTCATCTCCTTAAGTACTGGACATCAGCCTCTTCACTCCCTGCCTTGGCCGCCGGTTGCTCTCCTCCGCCGGTATTCATCCGCGTAGGAACTATTCCGGTTCGTCCTCTTACCTTCGGTCTTCGATCCAATCCTCGATCCTTCTACCTCGGCTTTTCATGCTATCTCAGTTGTCGCAATCAACAGCCTCTACAATATCTTTTTTCATATCGATGAAAAATAAAAGTACATCACTCTTAAGATAACATACGTTGAACATTTTCGATAGTGATAGATACAGTGGGACACGAGAGTAATTGTGTCTATTTCTGTTACTTCAAAGTAGTTTATACATATGTGTTTAATTTATGCTTAATCAAAAGGTTTTTTTATTAAAAAAAAATAAATTGAATTGAATGCTCATAATGCTATGAGATTTTACTTGAATATTAAATGCTGCTTTAAATTTCGCTATACGTACCACATAAGTGGAACTGCATGTCCTCGACTGTATTATTTTTAAATATTAAATAAAAGATGTGATCACCTTATTACGATCACTGGTTACCCATTATTCAAATTCTTTTCCTTTCTAGATTGACTCCGTTGAACGCCACCATTTCAAATCATGGGTTGCAAAAATTGTCTCAATGGATGTTTGTCGTTCAGATTGGTTTTCAAATCCTGCCTATGTACGTGTTTCAAGACGTCACAAAATACTTTCTCTTCTTCAGCATTCATATTTATATTGAAATCACCGTCAAGACAGTAATTATAAGTTAATAATAAAAAGAATACAAAAATACGCTAAATTATTATTATGTAATACTCGTACATTAAAAATGCCTGCCATTGAAAAAAAAAAACAGCAGCTGTCGCCATAGCAACGCATGCATTGACGACGCATGCGCACTGTTTACTATTACTTTTGAACGCGGTTGAAAAGTGTGCGCACGTCATCAAATCTAAACCAAGACCCATTTTGCCAATGGGTTAAAAAATTAAAATTTATCCGTCTCCACTGAACATTATTCAACGTTTCTCGATAACAGAAGAAATTAGCCAAAATTTATTGTCATATCTGAAACGAAAAAACCCATCACTTTTGAAATAATAATCAGAAAATAATTTCGATGGTGATGAAAACAGTGTAGCCCGAAAATCCATTCGTAGCATTTGTCACTTCTAACATGTGCATTTAATTAAAGATCTTAGCACAAAAAAATCGGATTTTATAATTTACGATTTTCAAGTGAACACCGGTTTACGTTTTTCAATGAAATGAGAAAATATTTTTGCCACATCTAAATCGCTTATCACGCTAGAAAAAAAATTCGACAATTTTTTTTTCGATGATGATAGAAATTGAGCGATACAAAAGCATCGTGTTGCATTTTGTAACAAGTGCAACAATTGTAACAAGTGCATGACTGTTAAAAATTGTTAATAACAAATATAATAATATTTAAAATAAGGTATTAATTTTTTTTCTAGTAGAGGATAGTATACTTTACTCGTCTGTCTTAATACTAAGAATATGTTGGATTTCTTGTTAGTTAAAATAGTTAAGTAAAAAATGTTACAATTGACCCCACTCTCCCCTACTTGAGGGGAGGAATTTTTAATTTTTGAAACAGTATGCAAATAACTTAAGTGGATAATTTAAGTTGATAACTGAATGAGGAATTTAATAGTTTATATATTGAAATAAGGTATGAACTGTTAAATAAACAGTTAATAAGTTGTTCATTCTCGTTCGAGGGAAGGGCTCATTTATTCTTGAAACAAAAGCTGCATTGGAAGTTAAACAGTTAATAAGCTGTTCATTATTATTTGAAGGAAGGTCTTATTTATTGTTGAAAAAAAATATGAATAATTAGTTCTTAAAAAAATGAGAAACTAGCTCGTGACTGTTCGCTGAAGGGATAAATTTCAAATTGTAAAAAGAAGGAATTGATTATTATTGAAAAAATAGAAAAGTTATAAGTAGAAACAGGATACGCATTGTTAGTTTTTTAAATAAAGAATCAGTTCCTAATAGAGGAAAATAAATTTTCAATTCTTAAATTAGTTAATAATTTTATACATTGAAAGTAAATGACAGTGGAAATGAATAGTTTTATGTTGAAGTTTGATATGGATTGTTATAGTTCGATCTTTAAACGGGTAATAAGTTTTTAATTGTTGGATAATAGGATGGGTTTTTTTACTTTCTTGAATGGATGCTGTTTTTTTTTCTTACATTTTTGTGAAGTCTTTTCTCAAATATATAAAGTGGTAATGCGCAAAAATAATTACATAAAAAATTTTACTTCAAAATCAGATTTTCGTTTATTGATTTTGTCATAATATTATTTTGGTCACTATTTGCAATAATATAATATAATTATATTTTTACTTATACTTTATTATACAATAATAAACTTTACCCTAAGCCTTATCTTATTTTATTATACTTTATTGATAAAATAATTATAAATTTTACCCTATGCATTAGTTTTAGTTAATTTTATTAATTTCTTACTGCATTTTCCACGAAATTCAGTTTCAGACTCGGTAACAAGTTAATTCAAATTAGGCTAAGTTGAATTAAGATGAATCATTATTTTTAAACGAAATGAAAGCCCATGTTATATTTACTCTAGCATCTGCCTTGACTAAGTCACTGATCTAATGACTTTAGTCTAGGCTTCACCCAAAGTATGCTTAGTCCAATGTAGTTTAATATTCCTTAACTACAAGATGCGGCTATTAATTTCCAGGAGTTATCTAATAACTGCTTAATATATTATTCGAATTACATGCTCATATTGTAGGCTTCAAAGTAATCTTGACCTGCCTTGATGCGCTGTAATAATGGGCTGCAAAGGATTCAGAAACAGCTTTTAAAGTCATTTTTCGGTATGTTCTTCAATTTTAAAGTCTTTGATATCCGTAAACTTGGTTTTCAACTTTTAGAACATTTTTTTCTGCGTTGCGAAGGCCAATTATTTACCATAGTCATTGTAAAAAATTCTTGCCGATTGCTTTCCGAAGCTGAAATTTGGTAAAAGAAAAAAAGTTTGAAGAAATTATTATGGTTTAAAGATATAATTTATAGGCAAAATCGTAGAATAGTCCACCTTTTGGCGACTTTTCGAAATCCCTCAAAGTTGGCGATTATTACTAGGATCAACGTTGCTTTTTGATTATTAAGACTAATAGTAACTGACCTACCCCCGAAGGAGTTTGCGGATAAGGGTTTCACCCGTTCTCACGTGAAATAAAGACTACAAAACCACAGAAAAGTAAAATCAAAACCAAAAAGATTGATACACAGAGGAAAAATCGCAAAGTCGAAAAAAATAAAATAAAAAAATAAAGCAGAATAAAAATTAGAAGTGCTTAAGACATCTAAGTGAATAAAATCAACCAACAATAAAAGTGTCAAAAATACAGGTAAAAACATATAAAAGTAGGTCAGGTAAAACATCAAATAGTAAAATATTA